CTCAGCCCCAAGGCAGAGGGCAGGGGCAGGGTTTGGGACCGCGGCGGCGGCCCGAAGGGGCGCGCTATGCGCGCCAGTTAACAAAAGCACCGGGGAGCCGGGAGAAGCGGGGGGCCGTATTAAATCCGACCGCGGGCCGCATTTGGCCCGCGGGCCGGACTTTGGACATGCCTGCTGTAAGTGAAGTGTACAGCAGTGTGGAGCCACCTGTGCCCCCTCCATGAGCTGTCAGGTACGTGTCCACAGCCAGCTCCTGCGCTCTACTTCTTGCTCATACCCCTCCCACCCGCAGCCTTCCCCTGCGGCTTTCCCCCAGTCAAGACCCCACACCTGCAGCTTGCTCCCCAGAAACCTCTGCACACTGTACCCCTCATTTTTGGCCACACCATAGAGCCTAGGGGAGCTCCCCAAAACCTACTAGCCATGACCCCTAGAAAAGTTAATCTGGCCTGTGGTACTAAAGCATTACCTCACTCCTGTAAGTGTATGTTGTTTTTTTTCCTGCATTTCATTTGGAGACTATGAGGATTCTTTTTCTCCTCACGTGGGCTATGTCTACACTCGCAGCTTCTTGCGCAAGTACGGCCATTCTTGCACAAGAATCTGCAGAGCGTCCACACTGCCCGCCTGCTCTTGTGCAAGGAAATTTACAGTATGGCGTGATACGAGAGGGCTCCTTGCACAAGAGGGTAGTGTGGATGCTCGGCAGGGATTTCTTGCGCAAGAAAGCCTTATGGCTAAAATAGCCATCAGAACTTTCTTGTGCAAGAGAGCGTCCACACTGTCATGGGAGCTCTTTCACAAAAGCACAGCTCGCAGATGGCAGTGTGGATGTTTTTTTGTGCAAGATTTCTTGCACAAGAACCCTTGCACAAGATGTTTTTGTGCAAGAAGCTGCCAGTGTAGACATAACCTTGGGTGCCGGGTCATTGGGGTTTATCTTTTTTGACTTTTCATTTGTGTGTAGTTCTCCATTGATGTTTTTCTGGGGGACAGTAGCCCTGCCCCCAAAAAGTTTCCCCCTCTTACTTTATTTAGAAGGGAGGAGCCTAACTGAACCTCTACTTTCAGAATTAACGTAAGAACGGCCATACTGGGTGGCTACGTCTAGACTGGCATGATTTTCCGCAAATGCTTTTAACTGAAAAAAGCACTTTTTGCGGAAAAGCGTCTGTGCCACTTGTGGGGGAAATCTCGCTCCCCTGGGGTACAGAGCCCCCAGAAGGGTCCGAGGCTGGAGGTCAAAGCAGTGAGGCAGGAGAGAAACCTAGAAGGAAAACTTTATTATGCATGCATGCAGGCTGACCGCTATCAGAGTGAGCAGCAGCAGCATTGAGAGACAGTTTCAGGGATTCTTTATACAGTATGTTCAGACAGTAGTTGTTGATTGTTTTCTTTAACATATCAAAGTCTCAGCAGAAGTACTCTGAGACTTTCTGTTCACACCAGGAGTGCTAGAAGTAAGTTTTGCAGAACAAAGCCATATGAGAACTTGAGTGGAGGAGACTACAAGGCAAACTGTGACAAAGATAAGGGTTTACATGACAAATTGTCAGACTAGGAGTATCCATGAACTTGAGATAGGCATTGTAAGGGTCTTGATTAAAGTTAATTTGATTTCTCTCTGATACAGGGAGAGAGGCCTGGAAAAGTTTAACCCTTACAGCAGTTTTCTTTGAGAGTTTTGATTTCCTGCACAGTCCCCCCTTAGACACAATTGGAGTTATTTGATTTTTCTCTCACACATTCTAGATGCTTTTTTGCGCAAAACAAATCTGAGCTGTCTAGACTGGCCTTTTTGCACATAAGAGACTTTTGCCCAAACAGGAGCAGCATAGTCTTTCTGCAAGAAGCACTGATTTCAGACAGTAGGAAGTCAGTGTTCTTGTGGAAATTCAAGCAGCCAGTGTAGACAGCTGGGAAGTTCTTGTTTTACAGAAAAAGTTGCCAGTCTAGACACAGCTGGTCAGATCAAAGGTTCATCTAGCCCAGTATCCTTTCTTCCAATAGTAGCCAATACCAGGTGCCCCAGAAGAAGTGGACAGGAGAGGGATTACTTGATGATTCCCTTTCTATCTCCTGTTCCTACCATCGGAGAGAGGCTAAGGCCATCATTTCTACCCATCCTGGCTATTAAGTATGGATAGACCTAGCCTTCGCGAATGGGTCTAGTTCTTTCTTGAACCCTACTAAAGTCCTAGTCTTCACAGCATCCTTGGGCAAGGAGTTCCACAGGTTGACACTGCACAGAATGAAGAAAAGCTTCCTTTTGTTCATTTTAAACCTGCTGCCTCTTAATTTCAGTTGGGCTGTGTCCAGACTCAGGTGTTTTTTCGGGAAAAGTAGCCTTTTTCCGAAAAAACTTCCCCTGCGTCCAGACTCAAGCCGCGTTCTTTCGATTTAATTTCGAAAGAACGCGGCTTTTCTTTCGATGGCGGTAAACCTCATTTCACGAGGAAGAACGCCTTCTTTCGAAAGTTCCTCTTTCGAAAGAAGGCGTTCTTCAATGTAAATAGGGCTTCTTCGAAAGAGAGCATCCAGACTCACTGGATGCTTTCTTTCGAAAAAGCAAGCCGCTTTTTCGAAAGTTCAACGTGCAGTCTAGACGCTCTCTTTCGAAAGAGCCTCTTTCGAAAGAGGCTTGCAGTCTAGACATAGCCTTGGTGACCTTTAGTTCTTACATTGTGGGAATAAGTAAATAACTTTTCCCTATTTACTCTTTCCATACCAGTCTAAAAAATGACTATCATATTCCTCTCTTAGTCTCCTCTTTTCTAAACTGAAAAGTCCCAATCTTTTTAATCTTTCTTCATAAGAGCCCCTTCCAAACAATGACACCTTTAATGTACTAACAGAAACCTGCTGTTTCATTTCACTATTTTAAATTAATGTTAATTAAAGGAACAGGCTGTCCCTGGGAGCTTGTACTGTATGCCCAACCATCACACAAACGGTGGCTTCAGCAGGCATGCAAGCAGCGCTCGCTCATGGTTCTGCAGGCTGCGGACTGTCCTGGGGTGATTGTGCTGTGAGACCACCTCACGCTTCCCAGGGACAGAATGTCACTTTCCCAACCCTAAATTCAAAAGTCACGAGTCAGACCTTTGGCTGTCCCTGGGAGCTTGTACTGTATGCCCAACCATCACACAAACGGTGGCTTCAGCAGGCATGCAAGCAGCGCTCGCTCATGGTTCTGCAGGCTGCGGACTGTCCTGGGGTGATTGTGCTGTGAGACCACCTCACGCTTCCCAGGGACAGAATGTCACTTTCCCAACCCTAAATTCAAAAGTCACGAGTCAGACCTTTAG